GGGGGGGGGGGGGGGGGGGGGGGGGGGGGGGGGGGGGGGGGGGGGGGGGGGGGGGGGGGGGGGGGGGGGGGTGCCGCCGTTTGCGGCGACGGTGCCCCTTGGCCCCACCCCCTCCTCCTCCCCTTGGCACCCCCCGGTTCGTCGTCGCCCTGCTCCAATAGCAGCACCCTAACCCCAAGAAGAACGTCTTGACCCTGGAGAGCACACAGAGTGACGTCACCAGACGAGACGGCGGGGCGGGGCGGGGCGGGGCGGGCGCGGGCGCGGGCCGCAGGGCGAGAGTTAACGACCACATTGCGCGCGCGCCGGCACCCTTAAACCACGTCGTTGCCTATGCACAGATTTGTCGATTTTTTTTCTGTTTGAGGGTCGCTGGGCTCTTCGAGCTAAAACACGTTAGCGCGTGAGCCACGAGCTCGGCAAACGTCTTGTTATGATGGCAGCTGGCAATCAACTCACACCAACACTCTCGATACTACGCCTTAATGACGTTACTCGATACGACGCTCTGATGAGCCCACTCCGCAGGCGGGCCTTGTGTACTTGATACAATAGATTGGGCTGAGAAAAGTCGTGCTCTGCTGCAGCTCCACGTAGATGCATGGTGGATGTTGATTGTTGTTGCTGTTCTCACATCGAAAACCGTCTGCGGTCAGGTACCTTCTAACCTGGTCCAACTGACGTCGACGGTGACGGGCTTGTTTTTTGTCTTTGACCGTACAGTTACTCGCAGCCAACTGACCGACGGTGATTGGCTTGTTGATTGTCTGTCGCCGTCAAGTTACTCGTACAGCAGTGTTCAGCAGTGGATGATTCAACACATCATCGGCTTGCCTCACACGGATAGAGGGAGTGATTTCACCCCCAGCGTTCGTGCAAACTTTACTTTCGCGTTTGTGTCGCCATCACCCAACAGCTCTTTGTGTGCGTGACAGTTGCACACAAATGACGCCTGGGCTTCAACTTCCGATGCGGAAGGCAGGTATATTAGGTGTATGCGCCCATGCGCATGCCGTAGTCGTTAGACCATTGACTTCGCATCCCTACGTAATGGAACGATACGCCGCTGCACTGTAGGGGGGCGAGATCAAGCTAGATTTCAACTCCAGATGCGCGTGCCATCTATAAAAACTTGCATGAGAAGGCAGACATGCCGAAGTCGCCGGCGTTGAAGCCGTCTCGTCGAGAGCTTTCCAAAAATGTACATTTTCATTCTCATGCAACCTCTTGGTCGCGGAGTAGTCGGGCTCTCAAAAAATCGGTCCAGGGGGTATGTTATCTTGTGCCATGTCGCCTACCGCAATCGAACTCTGGAAGTCGGTCCAGGGTCTTGGTATCATCCGTATGCAACCTACGGACGATGCTAAGTACCCTGCAAGGCGGGCTCTCGCCCCAACTTGGACCGCGGAGAAGGAACAACCAATAAAGTAACTCCAAGCACGAGGAGGTAAGGCAGGGATATCTGCGTACCGTATACGACACAAGAAATCACACCCCGGGGATATAACATTTTGGCGCTTCAAAACATTGTCACCGGGTGTTGTATTCTGTGGGGGGGTGATATCTTACGTAGCCCGAGTAACAAAGTGCGGCCGTTGGAGCCGTGAAGGGGGGGTGATATCCAGGGGGTGTCATACTTGCAGGGACCGAAAGGGGTGTGGTAGCAAAGGGGTGTGATATTCAGGGGTGTGATATTTAGGGGATGTGATACCACCGCCGCACACTAGGGGCCGAAGGGGTGTCTAGCGCCTACTCAGGAGTACAAAGAATTACCTACCGTGCCTGCTGCCGCACGCGTAGCGGGTGTGATACCCACTGCTCGTAAGTAACTACCGTGTGCTACGGGGCACGGGTGATCAAGGGGGACGTGATACACCTCCTGATCACATGATCCCGGCGATGAACGCCCACAGCGCCCTCATCAATTTCAGCGGATGTATTGCCATGCAAAAAAAAATCCATTGCACATATTTTTTGTCACTACCGCCTGGCACCTAAAGAGAATATGCCAAGAAGGCGGGGAAGAAATAAGGCTGATTTGCATGCATTTAAGAACCCCCTCGAGAGGCGCCCCCCCCCCCGGTGTTTGCCATCGGGGTTGGGTTTTCGTCGCTTGCCAACGACGTTGTAAAACAAGCCCACCCCTCGGTGTTTGCCATCGGGATTGGGTTTTCGTCGCTTAGCAACCACGTTGTAACACAAGCCAATTCGCTTCGTGGACTCGGCAACCCGGTTACCGTTTTTTTTTTGGCGGTAACAACAATGGTGGTCGAGTAGATCATGTTGTGCGGGGTGGAGAAGCCTCACTCTGGTGTTTGCCATCGGGGTTGGGTTTTCGTCGCTTGCCAACGACGTTGTAAAACAAGCCCACCCCTCGGTGTTTGCCATCGGGATTGGGTTTTCGTCGCTTAGCAACCACGTTGTAACACAAGCCAATTCGCTTCGTGGACTCGGCAACCCGGTTACCGTTTTTTTTTTGGCGGTAACAACAATGGTGGTCGAGTAGATCATGTTGTGCAGGGTGGAGAACCCTCACTCCGCGCAAGGGGGATTATCGCACCACGTTGTGTTAAAATGCTCAAGCACCCTCGAGGCAGTCACACAGTGCTAACAACTGTCTCTGGAACTGAAAGCACCAGAAAATACATCAAGTCATGCGCAGCTGTCATCCGTACGAAAGGAAG